AATTGTGGTTGCGCACTGGATAAAATCAAAGAAATTTTAAGAATTCTCCTGAAAAAGTTACAAAAAGATTTACTGAAAAAATTATAGAAACATTTACAGTGATCGTAATTCGTAACAGTTAACATATCAGAACGATTAACAGAAACATTTACGATGTCTTTCAGGAGGATTCTAAAAAAATTACTGAAACAATTCTCCTAAAAATATTTGGCCATTTCTTTTCCCATCCTTGTTGTGTGGATCTCACCTTTGAATACCCAAAAATGCCCTCAATAATTTTTGAAGATGCATCTCCAAACGCACCGTCATCCCATTTTTGTCAAAATTTAGTTCGGAGATGCATCTGCGAATATTTTTTAGGGGTATTCGATGATGCATCTCTGAAAACATCCCTGAACTCATTTTCCTAGTATTTTCAATGAGAATTATCATTTATTCCTTCAATGATATTTTCGAAGATGCATCTTTGACAATTTCAAGCGGAAAATTGAATATATCACCACCTTGCATGATCATCTCTCCCATACTTCATTCATTCTCCATAACCCAAAATCCTTTAAAAAAACTTTCATTCTCAATCAATTTTTTGAATCCAAATCATAATTCTTATGTTTTATCACATCAATGGGAGCAAAAGAAGTTGTAATTTAAGGTAAAGTTCATTCATTTCATCCCTCATTACTTTCATTAATCTTGTTTTTTAGCTGAAAAAATGTACATTGAGTCCGGAGATGCATCTCTGAATTCACCTGCTACCTATTTCAGAGATGCATCTCCAAATTTGTCTATTCATGTCATTCTTTTTTACCGTTTTTCTATTTTGAGTCAAATTAGATATATTGCACCTGGATATGTTTTCCAAAGTTGTTGTAAATAATGATGGAAAACCTGATGAAGTGAAGGAAGATGTTAAATTGGATGTGGTGAAGGACGATGTTAAACCGGTTGAGGTGAAGGACGATGTTAAACCGGTTGAGGTGAAAGACGATGTTAAATAGGATGAGGTAAAGGACGATGTTAGACCGGTTGATATCGAGATAGATGTTATTCAATACTTTAAAAATGAATAATTGTTTACTGCTCGTGAACATATGCTTGAATGGATTTGCATGGTGGCCAGGAAATTAGGGTTTGGCATTGTAATCGGACGGTCCGACAATGGTTATAGCCGAAGGTAAGCATTTGTTACAATGAGATGCGAGAGAAGTGGCAGTATGTTCCACCGATTCGGAAGTTGAAATGTGATTACATCAGATCAAGGAAATGTGAGTGCGTGTTTAAATTGCACGGATGTTGTAAGACGGATGATACATGGAAATTTAATGTAATTTATGGTTTACATAATCATGCATCACAATCAAAGCTAATCGGTCATCCCATTGTATATCACCTTAAACCGGTGGAGAAGGAAATTGTTTTGAACATGTCTTTTATTAGTGTGGCGCCTAAAAACATACTTGCAGCTTTGAAACGGAAAAGACCTTAAAATGTCTCAAATATCAAGCAGGTATATAATATACGTTATCAAAACAACAAGGCGATAAGAGGCTTGAGATCCTAAATGCAACAACTTTTAAAGCTTTTGGATGAGAACTACTATGCTTCTAGGTACAGAGTTTGTGACGATAAATTCATTGTTCGTGACATATTTAGACTCATCTGAAAACCACAGATTTGAAACCTCCTTCGGAACCGGTTAAAACCAAAAGTGTCCCTAAAAAGGTCAAACCGGCAGAAGATGACAATTCAACAAAGCAGTCCCCATCATATTTTGAACATGTTGATTCACATTTCCTGAATTATCTAACTCCAAAATCTCAAAAAAAAAGTGTGTACAAGGGTGCTCGCATTAGCAAATCACCTTTTTCACCACTGATGTCGAAAATAATCTTCATTGAAAAAATGACATTTTTATGCACAAACACATTGAGCGGATTGTTAATGTTAAGGATGATGGTAATTATGGTTTTAGGGTCGTAAATGGATTTCTCGGTAAAGGAGATGAGAATCACTTTCTTGTCCGTCAAGCTCTTTTGAAAGAGTTGACGGTGCACCGGAGTTCTACACAAAGTTATACAGGAAAAAAGAACATTTTGAGTCAATTCAAGATGCACTTACTCCTTGTGTTAACGGTCCCGCACCATTTTCAAAGTGAATGTGCTTACTTGATAGGAGTAATCTTATAGCAAGTACATATGATATAGTGTGTATCAATCTGACAAGATATGGTTTCTCGTAGACATTTTTTCCACTTCGGAGTGGCCCACCTAAAGATCCTTCTGCATGCATCATGTGCATAGGATGGCTTTCAAAATCACTACTTTTTTAGGTTTATTTGAAATTGGGATGTCCTATACTGAGTACATTATTGGAGTGGACCGTACATTCAACAAAAGAGGTAGAAACTTGGTCAGATCAAGTTTTGAAGAGGATGAAAAAGTTCACGAAATTGAGTGAGCTTGAAAGAGAATCAAATTAGGGAAAACCGAAGGCAGAACCAATTGTAGATTAATGTGGTGACGAATCTTTTGATGCATTTTAGATTGTAATTGATACACTTTTTGAATGTATTATCGTCAATGATGTAATCTTGATATAATTTAATACATAATTAATATATATTGAGTAATTATGGCACAAATGTCGAGTGTTTTTGTTTATTCATTTTATGGTTTACAACTTCTACTTATATTTTCTAAGTTTTTGGTTTGACTCTGGTTCAGGAGTAATTTCGGATATGCATATCCAGATGAACACCATTTTAATTTTTTTTAAATCCATGATACTTTTCGGAAGTGCATATCCAGAAATACCATTTTTTCATAAAATAATAGGGTTTATTCGAATATGCAACTCTCAAAAATGTCTTGATGACATGATAAGGTTTCTAAAATTCAAAGTGATCCAAACCTTGTATAAATAAGATGTCTCTCATCCTATTTTCTACAAAAACATCTTATATCAAAAAATAAATACATATTCCCACCTTGCATTTGTGTATTTGAATGATAAAAAACTGTCACTTAAGATGCGAGTTTGCGAGGAAATAACTCGCGCCGACCTGATATCCAAACTAAATACGCTTCTGTGATATCTAAAAAATCGATGCATCGTAAAGCTCGAGTATCGTTCATCCCCGTTTGACTGCAACAAGAATATACAGCTCACCAACTTTGAATTGAAGACAGATGTAAATTTAGAGGTTATGTGGAGTACTTTTCATAGATATGAAACATATAGTCAGATTGAAGTAGATGTGAAAATTGCAAGATCCGCCAACGATATTATCAACATGTTGCAACGTTAGAAACTACCTGTTTATAACGATGTGTAATGTTAATTTTCTTATTAACAATTATCTAAGTAATATATTTTTGGATATACATCTCCGAAACATGTCTGACATAAAATCGGAGATGTATCTCCAAACTAAATTTTCACCAGGACCTTGTGAGAAGACACAGGGGGTTCAAAAAATTCAAAAACATTGCCAAATATTTAGAACTCTATTAAATAACCTGCTATTTATCATAATTGTTTAGCTCCCTGTTAATGACCATTTTCATTGTTTATAAACCTCTTAGAACATGATTATCGGTGTTCTTTGAGAGTTCCTACACATTTATTAAAGAAATTGTGTCAATAATAAATAGATATTTCACTTGTTTTCACGTTCATGAACTAAAGCACGTCCTCTTACTAAAACACGCTTCTACACTCCAATTAAGTGTGTCATGATAATAAATTAATAAATAAAATTGCAAGAATGTAGTTGATTTGTTTTAAATGTGGGACCCATTTTAGATTTTTTGATGAGTTACATGGATATTTGAGAATTGTAGATGGGTTGTTTAAAAAATTAAGAAGTGTGAAATAATATAAAAAATTATCTAAGTCCCATTTAAAGAACCCAAATGGATACGATGGATGTGGATGCTCTTACATTAGCATAAGAAATACTTTTAATGGAATACTTGTGAAAAGAATCAAAATTAAAAATTTACGCACATAAAAAAATTTTAAAAAGTGAATTGAAATTTTTCTAATAATTTAAAAACTTGGATCATCTGCCATAGCAAGCAGATTGAGTTGCATGGGTAGGAGATGACATCGGTTTTTGAATATCCCTCAAAAAAAGCTATCAAAATTAATAATGTCTACCAATTATTTTTGAAAATTCTTAATACATTAAGGCAAATATATACTTCTGAAAATTATGTTCAGCCATGAAAATATAATCAAATCGCTAATATTCAAAGACTAAATTACTATTTTACAAAATTGAAAGGAGTAAATTGCTTGAGCTTTTAGTACCTGATTTACCCAAACTATTATTTTTGGAACAAAATTGATGATGTATTTTCATATTCATTATCTTTCATAGAATACGTGGTTGTGAAGAAACCAACAGTAGCCACATTCCCGCTAGAGAAGGTGGAATGCAACAATTCAAATACTTTCCCTAGTAAAGCTTTACATACTTCTTATGAGCAACTATACCCCCATTATTTACTGGCTTGTATATAAGGCATTGCGGCAGAATATCAAAAGACAGATAGAGGTTATAAAAAAAGTATGATACAATTAATAAACAAACAGAAAAGTGTTCCGAAAAGATTACAGAAAAATTAGAATATGTTCACTGAGTAAGACCATTTGTTTCAATATAAACAAATCATGAAACAGAACAAAAATATAGCTCAAAAAGAGGCACATGCTTTCAGCATTTGATACCTTTCAAGATTATTAAAGAATCTCTCTAGAAACATTAAAAAATAATTCAAAACTAAGAATGAAATATCTAACTTCCCTATCAGCCTGAAAATTTAAGCTTACCTGCTTTCTCTTTCCAGCACATCTAACATCTAGATATGTACATGGTGCTGCCTTGTGATCATGGTATAGTTATTTACATAAACCTATCTCATCTCAGGATATGTATCCCTTTTGTAGATCTTGCTCCAGTCACAAAAACTAACTAAAATTAGGTAAAACATATTTTACCGGTTCCATGACCTCAAGTATGCTTTCGCCACTTGATCATTTAAAGCATGATTCTGAGGAGGCAAGCTCATCCATGTCATATCATCAGGCACTAGAGCACCAGGCGCATCACGTCCATTCAAATAATCTAGTGGATTAGAAGATGGTGGTACAACAGCATTGATCCTATGTGTACTTGCATCTACTACTCCATAGGTTCTGGGCGAAAGAAACTGGTCAGTGTGTCTGATTGAGTCATAAGGGCTACCCGAATGTAATTGGTTACGCTGAGATAGAAGACTATATAAGCTTTGATCGGAGTTCCCTCCAGTGCCAAGACTCTGACTAGGTAGACTCACATTGCCAGATCCGTTCCAGGCACCCTGAACTTGATGGTCTGAAGAAAACCAAGGCTGGCCAATGAAATCTCCAGTATTTACATGAGGTTGAGAGGGTGTCACCATGCGAGGGGCATTAACAGCCCAATCAGAAATATTTCCTGCAGATAATGGATCTTGCCTGGTGATTGAGTATCTTCCTGCATCAGAATAAATATTACCTGGTACATTTTCTGGCACATAAAAGTTACCAGCTTGTCTCTGACCTTGATCCAATGTCAGAGATGTTTGCAGCGACTCCTTAAAATGACTAGAAAATTGACCATCAACCATCGGAACATCATTTGAAGCCTGGAAAATTAACCCAGCTCTTTTTTGTTCGTGATGATAGGAGTTAACCCCTTTATCCTTGATGAGAGACTGAATCAAACCGACTTGATCCTGGCTTCTGTAAGAACTGAAGGAACCATCAGCTGACTGCCTGTGTAACAACTCCTTACCAGTGTCTTCTTGATGAAAATTAGATTCTGGACCAATCATTTGAATTTGTTTATCTAGGTTAATTTGTGAATTTACCAGAGATAACCCACCATCAGAGTAGTTGTGGGTCGCAGCTAAATCATAGTAAGAATGTGGCATTTCAACTGCTTGCCAGGCATGACCGTTAGACGATCCTTCACCAATGGAATCATCCCGAGAGTTCATATTCCTTGAATGCTCAGTTTTTATCTGTGAAACATCTACGTTAGATAAAATATCTTTTTCCAAATCTATATGCAAGCGGTGGAGCTCCTCATCACCACTATGATAAGATTTACTGACAGACAAATTCTCGGGGAATCTAGCAACATAATCTTCATTATACGAGAAAGGAGCTCCTTCGTCCATGGGATCGTCCTGAGAGTGCATAATCCTGGAATGTTCAGTTTTGTTCTGTGAAGCATCATCTGCTTTTGATAAAATATTTTTTTTCAAATCTATATGCAAGCTGTGAAGCTCCTCATCACCACTACTATAAGATTTATTGACGGACGGATTCTCTGGGAATCTAGAAATAGAATCTTCGTTATATGAGAAAGAAGCTTCTTCACCAATGGGATCTTTCTGAAAGTGCGTAATCCTTGAATGCCCCGCTTTGTTCTGTGAAGCATCATCTCCTTTTGATAAAATACTTTGTTCTAAATCTTTATGCAAGCGACAGAGCTCCTTGTCACCGTTGTGATAAGAATTAAGGAGAGACGGGTTCTCTTGGAATCTAGCAATAGAATCTTCATCAGACGAGAAAGAAGCTCTTTCATCAATGGGATCATCCTGACAATTCATAATACTTGAAAGGCCAGTTATGTTGTGTAAAGCATCATCTCCTTTTGATAAAATATCTTTTTTCGAATCTATATGCAAATGGTGGAGCTCGTCATCGCCGCTGTGATAAGAATTATGGAGGGATGGGTTTTCTGGAATACTGACAATAGAATCTTCTTCATCTTCCAAGCTAGACTGCTTATTAACACCACCATCCTCTTTGTCCTGGGCCTGGAATCCTGTGCACAAAATATCCTCATCCTGTACGGAAAAGGTTTTAGCAGAAACCATTAAGAATTCAAGAAACAGATATACTGATACTGGTATGCTAGCTCACTACTGCTAGGAAACTATAATTGATCTTCAGGAAAGGAAACATTATTACAAACCTCTACCAGTACGTTTGGCTTATTTTTCATCTCAAGCAACAAAGAATTTTTCATTGCACGTTTCTCTATCAGTCTCTCTGTCCAGTTTGCATATGATGCAGGGAGGTGTTTCTTCACCAACTGCAACCTATAGAAATAAAATATCTACTATTAAGCAACAATGATAAACAAATTTCAAATGTATTGTACCCTGCTATAACAATTTGACAAAGGTAGCCCTCGGCATAGCACTAACCAATGCTCATGCAAGTTCTTCTGTTCTTCTTTGATAAATAAATTGTACGGTTGTGCATTAAAGTTATCAATGTCACCCAAAACACAGTTAAGAGTGCTAGCCGGGATACTTTTACATGATAGTTTCAAACCCTTAACAAGTTCGTGCTGCTTCTTGCTAATCTGAAACATAGGAAATAAACAGCAAATGCCTTAGAGATGCTAATAATTGTGCAGTAAAAAATACAAAAGTTTACTTTGTTGTCTCATCATAAAAAAAGGAAAACCGCGCAAATAATACTTTTTTGTATTCAATATTAGAACTGTGTTAAACAGAATTAACATAAATCAATTTTCTCAAGGCCGGATACCAAGTTTTTTTTAAAAACATAAATCAAATTAACAAGCCTACCAAATAAGGTGAATTAAAAGAATAAAGCCGTTCAAAAAACCTGTTTACTTTTCAAATGTAGTTGAAATTTAAAAACACAAGAGTTGCAACGATAATTATTTTACATAACAGACAACCAACTTTAATGTCCCTCCAATTACAGTACCACTATAACTAACCCAGAGGGCGTGAGAAATGTTTACCCCTACCAATTCAGTATTGTTTCAGAGATTTGAGAGGGGGTTCTAACCTTGATATATGACATATATTTGTCACCATCACTGGCATGAATGTTCTCCTTTGGTAGTGTGCCTCCTTTCTTGGGTTTTCCTCCCACATTAAGCATAAAATCTGAAGAAGCCATCATATTTCTTGGACTACCTTTATCGAAGTCTTTGCCAAGCACCCTGTCAAACATCATTCTATACACAATTATTTAAGCATTGGAACAGTAAAGGCTGATATACATATAAAGTTTATAGACCAATGGAAGAGGAAGACTACAGCTAGGCCAGCTATTCAACCAGTAGAAGACATAGTAAGAACTCAGAAGAAATAAGGCATATTGCCTATTACTATGACAGGATGAGGGAGAGCTACCTAAGCATTTCAGGGGAAATTGGGTCTTTGGCAGGAAGGCATGCAGACCCTCAAAGCTACTATGTATTCTATTCTGTTTAGTACTTGGGTTTTTTTCCAAGAATTTTCTAATAAAATACCAAATTTCTATCAATTTTGCATCAAATGACCTTGGAAATTAGTTATATACTTTGCTCCATAGTGCATTTGACATCTGCCTACTCATTAGAGATACTCATTTAGTAATCAAAAAATATTTTTGATTCACAATAGGAGTCAAATTCAAGATCTCGGAGGCACCATAGCAGAACAAGCAAATATTTGAAGCAGCCTTTACAAAAGCCACCAAAATCAAGTGCAGCTGTGATAGTTACCTTCTTTGAAGTTCATCGCCCTGTCCCTTTGAGGAAATTTGGCAGTCACCGTATGCTTTCTCCTCTGCACCCACGGAATATGAATCAGATGTCACTGTAATATTCTCATCATTATCATCATCTCTAAATTCATTTAAGTTTGACAGTTTTCTTTTCTCTATATCATTCTTTGACCTGCACAAAGCAAAATGCTCATCATTAAAAATGATTAATCGACACATATAAAATAGGTAAATGCCTATGAAGCGCCGACACGCCATTCACACAGCGTGTCGGACACGTGTCCGACACGGGAACTTGTACGACACGTTTTTGAAGTGTCCAACGGAAAAAAATAATTGAATCGGAACGGACACGGGTACGACACTTTATTCTAAATATAGGACACGGCTCAACAAAAATTCAGATTTTTTTTTATAAAAAAAAAAAAGCCCAACTCAAAAATAGGATTCTTTAGGTTTTGTATTTTACTTTCCCTCTATAAAATCAACACAATTAGTTACAAAATTAGGATCCCTAGTTTTAATCTTTACCGCCATTCTTCTATTATAAATTTTTACTGTTATATACAATCCCTATATGCTTTGTGTAACCATGTGGAAAACTATTCAGACCATCCACTTTACAAAGAACTGCTAAAGAGTTCTATATTTGTTTGTATACTACTGTCACTGAAATTGGAACAAAAGATAGGGACGAATATACTCCAAATGTCCTTCCAAGGGGTCTTTCCTGTCACTTTACAGACAATCAAATTCAAATGTACTGAATGGATCTCCCTAATCTGTTTTCTCTTATTTATATCTAACCGATCCCCCTCCCTTTCCCTTCTAACTAACTAATCTGCTAATAGACTAAATTATAGAACTGTTTTCATTATTCTATCTAATGATGCATCCTAATACTTTGGATGCACATTTTAGTATCCAAGATGCAGTCCATGTTTCTGATGACCGGTTATATACTGTATAGGAAAATAAACAAAAACTGAAAGTACTAATGATGCAGTCCACGTTTCCTGTCATTTTTTGTGTTTTTTTTATTGATTGAAAAGACTAAGTTTAAATAAACAAAAATTGTTACTTCTAGTAACCAAAAAAAAAATTTGTTACTTCTTTTAAACTCTTTATAAATTGTGCTCATAAATTGCATTATTATATTAATATATAAAATATATATAGCCGTGTCCATGTCTTATGTTTTTTATATTAGTGGAGTCCTCGTGTCCGTGTCCGTGTCCGTGTCCGATTCCGGGCTTTGTAGGTAAATGCACATTACACACACTTTTATCTACCAGTATATGCATCAGCTAAACAACAAACTAAAGCACATGTCCTTGTCATAACATTATGGAATACACCTGTTATTACTTGTTACTTTTTTGTGAAAGAGTGTGGTGTATGCAAAATGCAATAAATAAACAATCATCCAAACGTCAAACCTCCGAGTATTTGGTAGAATTTCCTTTTCTGGATCTTTGCAGCTCTCCCACCTCTCCTTCAGCTTTATTAGAAATCCAATCATACTGCAAAATACAAAATGACAACATTTTTACTAAGTACCATACCAAAAGAAACAAGATTGGAATCTACAGTAAAATAACTGTGCATGACTTACTCCTTATGATAATTCTGTAATTGCGAGAAGTATGCTCTCTTATCAGACTTTAGATGTTGCTCCTGGTAAACAATCATATCTGGATGAAGCTCACCTGAACAAAGTGAAGCACCCCTGCAAATGCATATTACCATTCAATTGCAGCTCTAAAATCTAATAAGATGAATATTTTAATGAATGGCCCACAAAACAAAAGGAAAGTTATTTTCATGTATTAATAATTTGTAGGGACTACAAACATTTTATACAATTGAAGTATGACTAATGTTAGGAACACGCAGAAGAGAATCGAGAAATTGATAGAAACAGAAAATCAACGGAAATGAACAATTTAATTGAATATTGAGAATACAATAAAGACAGAAAGGAACCAGAACACACTGTATTATTACTGTTGCATTTTAGGTTAATCTAACAGGACAGAGCCACTGATTTTAGGCATGTCTGAGGAAAATAACCATTATGTAGTAGACTAATTCTATGTAAAATCTATGAGTCTACCCGAGTTTACATAAAATTTATATAGTGAATTAAGTCAATTTGGATACCTAGATTTGTGAACTCCGGCAATTCTATGAATTAACTATAGAGCTGGAACCATGCACAACAACATCGTTGACGTACAACTCAAAAGAAACTATCATCAAATAAATACCAAAAAGCATTAAAAGGTTAACTACGCTTGTAATCCATATAAAATGAGAGAATTTTGGTTTAAGTCCCCGTAAAACACTTCCTTTGATTTTCACGCTCAAAAAGCTGAAATTAGTAAAAATGACTGTTGTTGGTTCTGGTAAAATAGGCAAATTTTGGTCGTAGTCTCAGTTGAGTTTTTCCTTTAGTTTTCATCCTTCTAAAATCTAAAATATTGTTTTTAACTCCCTAACCTTCATCTTAGGACTCAAGGAAAAACTTATGGATTGGGGAGTAACATGCTAACAAGACACAATGGACATTATTAGGCGTCACCTGAAAGATGACCAGGTGACTTTCCATAAAAACACATTAGCTTACCAGATGGCACATGACAATTCGAACCATAAAAATGCATTAGTTAATAGATGCCACTTGACAATCAGAACCAAAAAAAAACAGTGATTTCACATTTTTAGAATGATAAATATTAAAAACAAAAAAAAAACAGAGGGACCAAAACAATAATTCGCTTATTTACAAGGACCAAAAACATATTTAACCCAGATATAAACTATAAACCTATGAAGAAATAAAAAGTAAATACAATCAAATTGAGTCCCCTAAATTTTTGCAAAAATTTGGGAAATACAACAAAACTATAAATATATTAAAGTACACTTTTCAAGCAAAAGCAAGCAGTGTCAGAGAAGGTTAGCCATCCCAACTAGGTTGGCACTTGACATCACTAATCCAGCAAACTTCACAAAATGTATGTGGCTAAAGTATATTAAAGTAACTACATGATTAAACTTAGATCAAATTTCACAAAATCCAATAGATCGGGACCTCTAACCAAATATGCGGTTGGCAAATTTGGTTAAGTCAACACAAAAATATTGTAAATCCAGTTATCACATTGCATCGATGAATCAGTCCTCATCAGTCATGCAAGTAAGAAATAATCACATATAGCATATGTCTATGCATGCACAGACTATGTAATCAGATCAACCACACATGCAAAATACAGCAAACCAATGTCTATACAGAAAATATAAAGAAAGACATCTTGCCATTTCAAGAAAGGGTTTCCAAAGTGAAAATCATCTCCAGAAAGTAATTCTTGGACAACTTGGTGTGGCTCTAAGTCACCAGGAAGAAACTGCTTGAGAAAATCTCTCTCATTGTCCAAAAGGTGTGTGTTCCAAACCTGCCAAAAAGTTACACAAAAGGCAATTTAGGAATACTATATAAAACAAAAAATATATATTCTTACATCAGCAAATAATTGAAAATAACACGGCAAAATTGTTACCTCGCTTGAAAGCACTCCACTTAAACTATCCAGGTCAAAAATCTCTTCAGGTATGGCAAGCACATCTGCCAAGACTTCATGTCCATTGTGATCAAATCGGGCAAATGGTTTCATTTGTCTCCAACTGATGCCAATCTGCTCCCGCTTGGCAACAACCCTTTGGTGATTGGCATCCCATTCAACAGAAATGTGAGATTTCATGGTTAAATCACTTTGCACTGGTGGTCCAAAATTCTTTCTTTTAGTCCTACATTGCTCTAGAGAGCCATAACCAACCATGCTTGCACCATTTAATCGCTTTCTTCTTTGATCAGAAGCCATTATATAAGGTGGAATATTACTGAGCAGAACACTACACAAGTATGAAGCAAAATACCAGGCTGTTCACTGTTACTGAACAGCTTTCATCTGTACTGTAAGCAACCTAACAAGCACCAAAAGAAAAGAGATTCAATTGTAAGATGATTCTCCAAGTCCATGCCTCAATATATCCAAAGAATTTCTCTCAAAAATATAGGCAATTTCATTTAGAAAAGCTAATTCCTTTAAAAGGATTCAACAATTTCATTTTTGAAGAAAACCAATTTACCATAGAAGCCAAGGTTAAGGAATAGCAAAATAGACCACATTTGGCAAACAATTTCCATTCCATTATTACCTCTATTCCACATAATAAGAATAAGAACTGCTTAAAGAAAAATTTTCTGTGGCCATAATGATCAAAGTCTGTGATATTGCCTATTGTAAATATTACTGTGAATAGTCATTTTTGTGGTTACTTTATTTTGTAGTTTGTGGCTCATTAGGTCTAGAATTTACTATTTAAACAGATTAACTATTTTATTTTAATTACAACATTGAAATATATGAGAACTATCTTCTACAATGTTATCAAAGCCTATCCTAGATATGTTGTTAGGCTTCTCGCATCGTCTACGCTTCAGTCTCACTGGGGCCTGAGCATGAAGGGGGTGTGTTTGAAATTCTGCCTTCATTGCAGTCCGTCCCGGGCTATCTAATTATAGCATTTGAATTGTCTTCATCAACACCTTCATTGTGTTGGACGTGAAGCTGTGAATTTAATCCCACATTGCCTAGAAATATGGTTTGTGCAATGTTTATAAAATTTGAAAAGCTCTCATCTTACAAGTTGGCTTTGTAAGGTTGAGTTGGGCTCAACCTAAAATTCTATGATGTCAAAGTCTATCAAAAAATCGTTGGACCACTCTCACCAGGTTTTTGCTATCAAACCACTCGAATCACACTCTAGATATGCAATCTCGTACAACAACAACAACAACAACAATAACAACCAAGCCTTATTCCAATGGGATCAGCATCGTCGATCAACTTTCGCCATAGTTCTATCTAAGGATCATACTTCTATCTAAATCGTTAATCCCAAGATCTTTCCTAATAAATTGTATTAAAGTTTTCCGAGATCTTCCTCTTCCTCTAGTTGTTTGACTTCTCTCCATCTGATCAACTCTACTTACTACAGAATCTACCGGTCTTCTCTCTACATGCTCATGCCACCTAAGCCTATTTTCTACCATCTTCTCTACTATAGGTGTTACCCTAACATTCTCTCTAATATTTTTATTTCTAATTCTATTATCCCTAGTCTTACCACATCCAACGCAGCATCCTCATATCTGCTACACTTTATTCTTGTGGTGATTTTTAACCGCCCAACATTTTGTCTAGTACAACATTGCAGATCTTACCACAATCTGATAAAATTTTCCCTTCATTCCTTCAGTTTGAGCGGTACCTTTGTGTCATATGAAACCCCTGAAGCCCTCCTTCATTTCAACCACCCAGCTTGAATTCGATGTCTTACATCCCCCTTCTATTTCTCTATCATTTTGTATTACGGACCCAAGATATTTAAACCGTATAACTTGAGGAATGATATAGTCTCCAGCTTTCACCTCAACGCTTCTTTTGTTGAACTTACATTACATATACTCTGTCTTACTTTTACTTAGAGGAAAACCATGTGTTTCTATAGCTCGTCTTCAACTTCTCATTTAAATCCTCCTTCGACTTTCTAAGTAGGACTATATCATCAGCAAAAAGTATGAATGTCGGTGCTAGCTCTTGGATGAGCACATCAAAATTAAGGTAAAAAGGTAAGGCCTTAGGGTTGAACCTTGATGCAAAACTATTCTAATGTGTAAATCGCCGGTCTCTCCACCCTGTCTTTGCACACTAATGCTAGGTCTAAAACCCACGTTGGCTAAGAGTGAAGTGTGAAAATCCAATTTAAAATATACATTCATCCATACACCCCTTATAGAAAACCCTTGTCATTAGGACTTTGTTCTTCCTCTCAACTTCACCATTCAATTCAAATATTTAAAACTTAAATCACCATAACAACCACATATATTGCTAAACTCACGCTACCATATTAGTACTATTACGGTTCTTCACCCCTCCCAACAAAAAATAATAAATTAAATCCCAAACAATACGAAGAAAAACATTGGAAAAATAACAAAACTCACATTTAAATATTTTCTCTGCATGTAATCCGCCACGAACAGTTAACCCGAGGACTGACAAAAAAATTCAATCAAAAATTCAAGAATAATCACGAAATCACGTTAGCCTTAGAATAACGAAACCCTAAAACCAAAAATGAAAATTTAAAAAAAAAAAACTCACAAAAATTACCAGTGAAATTGTGGACGGCAGTGAGAATGAAAGAGGGAGATTTGAATATGAAGAGGAAAATCGAATGGGAAATTTAACAGAAGAAATGAGATTGAACGAGGGTGAAGAGAAGAAGACGAAAACCTAAGAACGAAAGAGAGTGAGAGAGAAGGGTAATTTGGGATTATGAAAATATGGATGGGGTTGGAATGGAAATATGGAAGGAACACAGACCACAATTGAATTTGAGAGTGAGTGAGTGACAGTGAATGAGACGAGTGTGGCTTGGTCTTTTCTCCCACCCGGTTTTTTCGTATTTCGCGCGAACTCGGCCTCACTCGACTCGGCTCAGCTTCAACCATTTATTAATTTATCATACTCATCTTAAAATAATAAAAGAAAATAATCTTTTAAATAATTTACACTCTCCCGTGATCACGATCATATATAAGAATATATCACTCTTTTATTTAAAAAAATTAATAACATAATAAAAAAACTATTTTATATTATAAGTGTATATTCCTTCAATTTTAAAATATATTTTTAAAAAGTTGTTTATATAAGTAGGCATTCATGTCATTTATTTTCTTACTTTATAATTAACATTTTAAAACTCTACTAATGCTTTCCTTTCTAGAATAGATATATTAATTTTCTTTGTTTTCTTTTTAACATGTCAAAAAGATATTTTATTTTTTAAAAAAATAAAATATTATACAATAAATACATAATTTTGTATGTTACTATTGTTTTTTATTATTAAAAATATTTAAACAATTTTTTTATTATAACACATTTTTGAAAATTAGAGCTGGAACTTTAATATTTACATTTCACATAATAATATCAACTTTTGTCAATTACTAAAATTATGTACATTTAAATAGACTTTTTAGAGATGGAGTTAGTTTTTTTTTAATTTTCAATTTATACCAACAAAAATAATTATATATATAGTTATTATGTTAAATAGTGCATTATATTCATTATATTTTACTAAATTCAATTGATAAATTAAAAAGTTATTAACATTTTTAAAAGAAAATTGTTGATTTATAAATGTTAGTCATTTATTTACATTAATATATAAATATAAATAAATATTTAGATCAACAATTTACACCCATCCAAATATATTTATTTTATAAAATTTTATTAAATGTAAATATATTTAATGATTTTATTTGAATGATAATAAATATTTTTAGAAATTTAAGTGATTATCATTAATGTTGGACTGAACATTGTTTGAACTTAGAATCTTGCATTTGTATTTGTGTGTTGGCCTTTATGATCATTATCACTTTATTTATAGACAGAATAAATATAAATAATTATCGACTATTCAATTATATAATTGTGTTTATGATTATTATCACTTTATTTATCGACAAAACAAATATAAATAATTATCGATTAGAGGTATCTATGTTGGCCCTTTCCTTCTCTAAACAGGACTCAAATATCACATTATTCTCGCGTCTTGTACTTGTAAAACTAATGCCACTAGAAACCTTCTGATCATATCGGTATTGGAGTATAAGGATGTAATATCATGAGTCTGAATAAATTTGGTTTTCTTACCTATTGTTGTCTTGGGTGGTGTATTGTTATATATGTGGATACCTTAAAGTAGGGCACCCTCGCTCAGGAGTCGTGTCGCCCAAGCGATGACCTGGAGACTCGTCTAGAGGAAACCATGATATGTTGAGTCAAAAAAGAAGGAGTCTTCACTAACTCATGAAATATAGGTGGTCAATAACTTCATCGGGAGTGGGGAGTTGTCCACACCATTGAGGGTGACTCAAACCCTAGGTCTTAGAGACCTCTATAAATACATCCCGTATCAGAGAGAACAGATAGAACCTAAGTAATACACATTCTCTACACTCTAAATAACACAACACTCATTACAATCTTAACACACGACCATCAGCGATTGTAAGCTTGCTGCCAAGCATCACAATCATTGGCAAAGCCTCTCACCTCACACGAGTCAAACTCATAAATCACATATAAACACCATCATACAGGGCTTCTCACTACCAAATTGTATCATAAACCTACTAAGGACTCTGAGTTTCCTTGCTCTTGTAATGGGAACATGCACACATGTACTCTTTGACCAGTACATGTGGAAAAGTAAGAATCACAATGTTTCTTCCCCATGAATGAGAATGAACTTCTTATAATTCCCATTGTCATCCTAGGTTTGTATATTTTTCTATAAAGGTGGAAATTGAAAAGAAGAAGAGAAAAGGGTCTTTTCGAGACAACATATCATTTTCCTACGAAAATCCAATAATGTAAGTTATAAAACCACCTAATGATGATTGCCACGAGAATGGGAAAAGTCCTTGCACCAAGAAGACACGTGTAATTAAAGAGGCTATATTGGTTTCCAAGAATTTCCATCATGAGTTGCACTAAAGCTTTCACGATATATTGACATTTTGATATCTCAGAGTTCAATCGAGGTGAAACCTGATATGTCCCACTACCGCCTAGTTTTCTAGGAAACACTTGGCTAAAGATGAATATTCACCCTAAGTCTAGGGACTCGTCTCACATTGAAAAGGTCGCCTTCAATTGAGGGGCTCGCCCCTAAGCTGAGGAACTCGCCTCTCATTCAACTGGGGAACTCACCTCACATTGAAAAGGTCATCTTCACATAAGGTTCTCACCCCAAGCCATGGGAATCATCTCGCATTAAAAAGGTCGCATTTAACTGAGGAACCCGTCCAAAGCTAAGGGACTTGCCTCTCGAACGATAAAACCTTAAAACACTTTATTTGTTACAAGCCCTCGTGCTTGAGGGACTGTCTAGTGTTATATTCGTAAAAGTCTCAGATAGGGGAAACTTAAGGGTTCCACCCTAAAGTGATGTCGCATTGGTAACATCCTTATAGAACATAAGGCCTCGCCCTTTAAACAGATGATGTGTATAACATTGTTATCTCCCGTTAGTCATATAAGAAAGAGTCATACCATGACTCTCTGAAAAATAGGTAGTCAACAGTCTCCCCTAGTCACGGGGGTGATTATTGCCACTAAGGGTTTCCTAAAACCTATGCCCAAAAGGCCTTTATAAATACTTCTCCCCTAACAAGAGAAAGGACAAATCATAACTTATGCATAACACCCAAAGCATAACCCTTACACAGAGAGCCTTTCGCCTCACATGAGCAAGTCCTCTAAAATCATCGTAAAATCGTCATACATGGCTTATCACCACTGTGGGTAAGCCCTAATAACTACAAATTGTTATAAATCTACTAAGTCCTCTGAGTGTTCCTTACCCTTGTAAGTATACCATGCACACCTGTACTTCTTCACCAATACATAATCATATATTCTTGATGACATTTCTCAAATATCATATGAGGAATCTTTTAAGGATTGTTTGTCCACCAAGATTTTTATTTCGAACAAAAATTTTGGAGTTGATTTTTCTTTTTCAGTGTCTTCTTTAAAAGAAGTTTTTGATGAGGCTGATAAAGATCCTTCTATGAATCTTGAGCTCATTCCTTTATCTTTTAACAATTGAATCAACTCATAAAGTTTATCAACGATTTCTTCCTTCTTGGATATTTCCTAAAAATCATAGACACTTATATATTTAAATTTAAGGTTTGGATCATGTTTCTGATTTCAATTCTTAATGCTCAGAACTTTGTTAGCATCAAAAGTTGTAACATGGTTTCCGATATTTATAAAGGTTGAACAACATATGTCAAAGTAACATTCACATCTTCTAGTGTTTCAATTTATTTGCCTTGTGTGTTTATTCCATCTTTTTCGATACCTATAGAGACTCGATGGATCATTTCAATAGTGTCTAACATTTCCTCGGAGGAATAACAAATTTTTATTTAAAGACATAACCAAAAAAGTTTATAGCTTTAAAATCTAATTTAAAATATCCCATGTCTTCTTTGGTCCAAAGGAAATCAGGTTTATTTACAACTTCAATATTAACATTGTGAGTAGGGATAAATGGACCATTTATTATCATTTCTCACTATTCAAGATTAAGACTTTGAATGAAAGTTTTAATTCTAGATTATAACAATTCAAATATATCACCATTAAATATTAGAGATGTATTTAGGAAAGTCCTCTTGTTAGAAGAAGTGTTGGAATCACCTTCCTCCCGAGACAACTATGAAGGTAGAGAAAACACAAGAAAGGGGATTTGAATTGGGTTTATAGAAAATATTCCCCTTTAGAAATTCTAATCACTCAAATGATAAAAGCTATATAGACAATGAAGAGTAAATAACACAAATGATTTATCCAGGTTCACCTTAACAAGGTTAATCCTGTCCACCCCTCAAGGTGATTTGTCTTTAACAAGGACTTAATCCATTATAACCAAACTAATTATAAATGCACGGGCAACCACTGGTTACTAACAAACAACGACATGTTCAGTGATCCAACTTAACAGATATAATGTTTATTGACCCAATAGAATTAGATCACTTAATATCTCCTATCAGGGTTTTCCACAATGACCGCAGCCACTATCTTTTTGAGATTAGACCTTCACTTAGTCACTAAAGGAACCTTTCAATGATATGTTCATTTATCCAACTTAACAAATATAAAAATCATTAACCCAACAGAATATGATTACTTAAGATCTCCTATCAGGATTTTCCACAATGACCCACAACCATTGTCTTCTTGAGATCGGACCTTCACTCAGTCACTCAAGGAACCTTTCAATGATATATTCAGTGATCCAACTTAATAGATATAACAATCATTGACCCAAAAGAATCTGATCACTTGAAATCTCCTATCAGGATTTTCCATAATGACCACAGCCATTATCTTCTTGAGATTAGACTTTTACTTGGTAACTCAAGGAATCAATCAATAACAATTGATAAGGTTTGTGTTTACACGATTGCTTCTCTTAAGCAGATTACACAAATGATTAAGCACATATTAATTAACACAATTCCAAGCAACAACTCTTGTGTTAAAATAATTTACATGAAGAGATTAGAACTATAACACAATATGAGCAACAACTCTTATGTAAAATACAATGTTCTATCAAGATATATTTGGTCAGAAGTTGGGTAGCAGCTTGTAGTGTTCTTCTTCTTCATCTTCTTGTTGAGCAAGTTACAAGCAACAACTCCTTGCTTCTTCTGAGATCTACCAAGATATATATGATGATAGTTTGTGTAGCCTCTTTTAGATTTCTTCTTCTTAATATTTCTTTCTTTTCTCTCATTTATGTGTAATGGTCTTCAGCATGTTTACCATTGCAACTTTGACAACTTCAGCATCTATGGCATTTCAGCTTGATGGTGAAGA